ATGCTGTCCAGCAGAAATGACCAGCAAATCATCTGAGTATCTATCAGCATCTCTGACCGCAAGATCCTCTGCAATAACATCATTTCCAAATCCATCCATAACATTATAAGAAGATGCATGAGTGTGCATACATGTAAGCATCGTAGAAAGAACTCACCAATAAATTGAATTAATCGACGACTTATTTAACTAGCCACTGTCAATAGACGGGTGAAAATGTCATCCATTGATGAGTAGAATCCCAGACAATCAAAAAGAAGACTTGTGTTCCACAGAGTATCATTATAGGCCTGATACAAGGACCTATATTACATCTTTAAGCAGAAGGTCTGAATCAAACTGACAAAACAAAAGATGCCAAATTTAAACTTCAAACCCCCAAAACCTTATTCCTTATGTGGGATAACATAAAAAATAAATAAAATAAAATAAATCGATAAGCTAATTATAATTTCTTAGCTAATCTTGATCAAGAATAAGAAAGTTACAATAGAGAAGAGATACCGTCGTAGAAAGAACTCACCAATAAATTGAATCAATCGAGGACTTATATAACTAGCCAGTGTCAGTAGACGGGTGAAAATGTCATCCATTGATGAGTAGAATCCCAGACAATAAAAAAGAAGACTTGTGTTCCACACAGTATCATTATAAGCCTAATACAAGGACCTATATTAGATATTTAAGCACAAGGTCTGAATCAAACTGACAAAACTAAAGATGCCAAATTGAAACTTCAAACCCCCAAAACCTTATTCCTTATGTGGGATAACATAAAAAATAAATAAAATAAATCGATAAGCTAATTATAATTTCTTAGCTAATCTTGATCAAGAATAAGAAAGTTACAATAGAGAAGAGATACAACAAACATACAGAAAAAGTAGAGATAATTTGCAATAATGCACAATCGTAAAGTTGAAAAGTACTCACTGCGAGAGGCATTTCAGATATTTCATTTTCAATATAGACATCACCCATTAAAGTAATACAATCTCACTCAGCCACCTCCATTAAACCAGAAAATGGAGAGGAGATTATTCTAAATAAGATAACCAATTAGCCATGAGTGCTCTCCCAACTATCCAGCAAGTAGTCAACCCTCATTTACCTCAGAAGTGACCCATTAAGCACCTGCAAACTTGTGGAAAGCGATAGCC